GTGCCTCGCTACTAGTAACAAGAAGCTAGTAGTAACAAGTGCCACGCAGCATTCAAGTACTTTCTTCGATTCAGGTCACAGCTCGACTGCTTGCTGATCCATCCGATCAGTCTCACCTGAGGTGGAACTCATCCACCCTTAGGAGTCACACAAGCTTGGTCCTGGCGTTCAGGATGCCCCTCATGCTTCCAGATCCTGGTGCATTCCCAGGGTCAAGGAAGTTCACTGTGACTCCCGCAAGACATCAAGCGTCTAAGAGTCGAAAGTCATCGAAAGTCTAACCCGAGTCTGCGTACGCGCGAGCCGAGTCTACACACAACTATGCCGAGCCTAGCACTAAGCCTTCATCCAGACTCATCCAGGTTCAGGTTGTAAGTTACATCAGATGCCCAAATTCTTGCAGTCTCCTTCACTGCACCTGATCGGACATCCAGGCCGTCAGCGTCAGCGTCAGACTTCGAGCTCCAGCAGCTCGTCACTGGGGCAGCTGTCATCGCTGGGCACGCTGCCACCGACCACCTCGTCACGGCGGTGGCAACGCGGACGGCACGGTTCGGAGAAGAACTCCTTTTCAGGGACTAAAGTGATCCAATTGTGTCCAGTTGTATGAGGGAACGGGTTGTGGGTCCACATGAAGATGCCGACCTAGACCTAGCCATACCAGGCGGCTGGCAGTCCGGACAACTGCTCGAAACAACGAGGCCGCCTTCCGCCATATACCACCCCCCTTCCTCCCGGCCTCCGCTGCTGCCTGCGCCCAACTGTCTCCCTGCTGGTTGCCTGAGAGGAGCTTCGAGCGAGGCGGTTCTTCTTGTTCTTCAGCGTCGGCACATCGCAAGTCAGTCGTCAACCCGGTCATTCAAGCCACAGTCGTCGAGATAGCAAAGAATCAGATGTCTTCAAAAGATGTCTCTTTGGGATGCGCTTCTCTTGGATTTGTAGTTGGTTTCGTTTCTCTTTTGAATTTGGTCTAAACCCATTGGAGAGCGACGTCCGCCGGTTCTTCTTAAAAAAACCATCAGGGGCAGAGAACCACGAGGCGTTTTCGCACCAACCTGCGCATCGGGACGCTCATGCCAAAGCATGCCAAAGCGCGTTTCTGCTTGCGGCACCAAACGGGGAACTCCTTCCACTGGGTGGCTTCCGCCTTCGCAGTGCTCGCCAGCCTTGGGTGCAGATCTTGGCAGGCAAAAACGACCTCCATCCAAATCCTTCCCACACCCGGGTCGAACACACGCCCGCAACGCAGGTGGGTGGTGAAAGGACACGAGTCACCTCCGGTCGAAGCATGGAGACCCCACCTCCCTGAGGGCCGAAACAGGGGGCGAAACGGGCGCGGCCGTGGTTCTGATCGTCCAAGGCTTCCGGTGGTGCAGGGGCCTGATGGTGTGTGCCCCGAGTCACCTGCATTAGTAGCTTCTTGTTTCTAGTAGTATGGCCAGGAGCCCCGTTCGTAGCGTCCTTGCTCCTAGTAGCGATGCCAGGAGCCCCTAGTAGCGTCCTTGTTCCTAGTAATGGATGTCTCTTTTTGCAAAAAGCGGCTGTTTGCTCCCCAGCTCGTAGAGGCCGAAGGTCATCTGATGATCTCCAGGGCCTTTGTAGTACGAGACCTGGAACGCTCGCTGTCATGCTCTAGGTTTCAGGGCACTGGGTCGCTTCTAGTGCTATGCAGTTCTGTTGGTATTCTTGGGAGCTCTTGTTGAGCGAGAGGGATAACAAGCCTAAAGCATAACCTGTCACTTCCCAACGCAAACAAACAACCAAACAAACAAACAAACAACCAAACAAACAAACAAAACTAACTAACTAACTAACTAACAAACTAACTCACTGACTGACTGACTGATTGACTGACTGACTAACTAAAAAAAACTAAACTAAACCAAACTAATTAACAAAAAAAACACGAACAAAACAACACAATACAAACAAAACAGTAACACACACGCAAACATAACAATTATACTTAGGCTTCAAACTGTATGTCTTTATATAAATCTGGAGCAAGACTCCAAATAGGCGGCGTGAGAGACGCTCTTCCGCAAGGGAGCCCTGTGCTCTTGCAGCAGAGGTGATTGGAGAAGAATTGATGTTGAAAAGAATAACGAGACGGACAGGTGGTCCAAGCTGGAGTGTGGAAGCAATAGCAATGGTTAGGCCCCGAGTTGGAACGGGAGACAGTCCCAGCCGAGCATGTGAGCATGTCCGATGTCCAAGTCCGGAATGAAGGTCCAAAGATGATCTGTTTCTGAACCACCTCACGTCACCAGGGAGGTTATAAGGGTGATGCATCAAGAGCCAGGTTTCTCTTCCAGCAGGTGCATTTGAAGAATCTACCTCTTGAATCCTCTTGACAGTAGCTACTTAGCTTCGTTCGTAGCGTCCGGCCAGGGTCGCCGAACTCGTGGCGTCGCTCGCCTGGAACTCGAAGATGGAAACGCCTCCCGGCCCCGAACAGGCAGACCGAACCAGGACCGATCCAACCGGTTCCGTGAAAAACACGGCATCACATAGGGAAGCGGCTCCGTCAACACGAAGAAAAAGAGCACTGCAGCACGTGTTTCCGACCGAAAGCATGCGGACCGGATCCGACCAAAGGGTGAAACAACATGAAACCACTCATCCTCAATTAACGTGGTGATGAAACTGAGCGATCAAGTGCATCCTGTCTTCAACTCACAGCTTTGGAGACCACATGGATGCAAAGGTTTTGCCATCCCTGAAAAGATCTTCGCAACCATCCATCCACACCTGTGATCACCCCAAACCGTCACGTCCAGGTCGGTTTCCGCGTCGGTTGACGCGCGTTCGTGCCGGAACGTCACCCGGGTCGAAGCGCGGGCGGCCTCGCAGCGGTGCACCTGCAGCGTCGCAGCTGGCGCCTTGCTGCACCCAGGAGCTCAGCTTCGACCAATCCTGCGCCAGAGCACAGACACATCCATCCAGTGGATCCTGGGGCGGGTATGATATTCGCCCAACGTGCTTTCGCAAGAATCCAGGTGAGCTTTTCTTTGCCTGCTCCTCACTCCCCACAAACAAGAACACTGCTAACTTTCTATAACACGAGTTGTGGGGCGGGTGCACTCCTCCTTGAAGTCTGCCACCTTGCTGTCCGGCATCGACTGATACCATGCCTGCCGTGCATTGCCGCGAATCGAGGAGATGTTCCGCGCTGGAGAAAAAGAAAGACACTAATAGTACATGAAAGAACTATAGGTCCCGGAGATCGCTGGATGGTCACCATCACGAAGTATGAAAAAAATCGTCCGGAAATCATCAGTATGATGACAAACCAACCAATTGGTAGAGTTGATTCTGAGGAGGGCATAGCTGGCGGGATGTCTTTGGACTTCCCACACGGGGAGCCACATGAGTTATCTCAACATCCTGGTTGAGTGCCTTGTACTCACCAGCCCAGATCGGCAGACCGGAGAGGGGTGTAGCTTTCAGAGGCTGGAGCACCTGCTTGCAGATCACATCCTCGGCTGTGGCATGGCGCACGCTTTTGGCGCGCACCGGGAGGTTCCGAAGTTCCCCCTGTGAATCTCTCAGAGATTAAATCCAATATGGCATGGATCTGCGTGATCCCTCCAAAGTTGAAACACTGGGGCTTCAGAAACAACATATCTGTGATCAATCTTAAGAGCGAGCCGTGACTTCTGAATCCGGAAAAGGCGGATCCATTTCTCTGAAGTCTCCAGCTTGTTACACACCCACGGAAGTTACCACAACCCCAAAGCCCCGACATCACTGGCACCTCACGTGGAACATTTTCTGAGGTCATTCTCCTCTCACCCTTCCCAAAGACACACAATCTCGCACACCCCATCGACCCCATACTCCACCCCCGGCCGATTTTCTCTCCCCTCTCCCACCTTCCGAACAGCCGGGTCGCAGAGGTATCTTGGGTGTTGAAGCCCAAGAGCCAGCGGTTCTGCAGCGCGCTCTTCAAGTCATGCCGCGGATCGTAGCCGAAGAAGTCCGGCTTCAGCGCGCCCTCGTCCGGTCGCCGGTCGCGATGGGGCCCGGAAGAAGGGAAGCCGGAGAAGCACGAAGGCGAAGGAAGGCTTGTGGGGGGTTGGATGGGTTCCATCACCCGGCAGGATGATTCCCCTTAGATCGATCCCCTTTAAAGTGTTGCCTTTTTTGGAAAAAATAAACATTTAGGCGGAGAATCGGTAGAAGTCCAGAAAACACTGAATTGTTGGCCTCCCTGGTTTCCGGGAAAAGGAGCCTAAGGAGGAGAGGAAAATGACTGGATGAATCCCAAACTCAGATCAACTCAGCACTCAATTCCCCCACATTTAGATCAACAAACCCCTGGTCCCCACTTGGCTGCCCAAAGCACCACCACGAAATCGTACATGAAACCCAAGGCTGCCAGCGAGCCCACCTGAGCCTCGGTTTTTGATCGGCAAAAGGCTGCGGAGATCGGTGGTGGGCAAATTGGGTTGGGTGAGTTAGCCTTAGATCACATGGCCTGGAATTTGAGAATCAAGGTCCATGGTACTTTTGGAGAACGGTAGCAAGAACTCTGAGCCTCCCAGAATGACTCAAATGATGTCGAGGGCTTCTGGAAATGGAGAAAAACCTGCATTTCAATCCACACCCTCCGTGCCTCTCCGGCCTTGTTGCCTGGCATCGAGTGAAGACACCGAGTGAAGCCGCCGAGCAAACGGCCGAAAAAGGTCATGACTCCCTGCAAGTTTCATTTGGGTCCCAACCTGTACCCCTGCGGTCTTGCAGCGAGCGGCTCTATACCTCTGGTGCAATCAAAACTCTGGTCCAAGCAAAAGCGTTCCGTAGGTCGATGGAAAGATGACGTTCCTTGATGAGGTGGAGTGGGCATGTTGAAGAAGTGCACTCCACAGCTGCATTTCTTGAGCCAATCCCAACTAAATGGTGCTACCCGTGTGTCATTTTGAAGGATTCTGCACTTTAACACCACTGTTGGAGGTCATCGTGAAGCTTATAAAGTTTCTATTTTTGACGCGGGGTGCCCAAGTGAACTGGGGCGCCAAGTGTCAATCATGTATCTCTTGCGTGCCTTCAATTTTTGACGCATACCAAGATGAAGTCTATTTCCCAGACTTTGCCTTCATTGCTGAAAAAGCATCACTGCTGAAAAGCACACCAAAATATCCATTTGGTATATGGACAATATGGTGCGCTTATAGTAGGGAAAAGAATCAAGAAAAATCGCTAAGTCACTTGTCAGGTACCCTTGTTACTAGCACACTTGTCAGGCACTACAACCACTGTCACTAAGGCACTTGTCAGGCACCTCAACCTCTGTCACTAAGGCACTTGGCAGGTACCTGCTGCAAAGCAACCGAAAAGCACCAAATGCGTGAAGGCAAACAAGCGGGAGCTTCCTTAATCTTTGCATACACTATGCGTGAGATGTCGGGCACGATTCTCATCGGTAGCACCCCTCCGTATTGAAGCTACAGTTAACCTATAGGTAACTTATAAGTTCCGCGCGTTTTTTCACTTGTGGGAAAACGTGTTTTGCAGGCACCAATGCCTTTGGCACCAGTGCCACTGCCTGAGTCAAAATCACTATCTTGTCTGGATCATGTTCTTTCAAGCATCTTCCTTCTGGCATCAGAGATCTTGAGATAGCAAAGTTACAAGCTGGCGGAAGTCAATTCCGCCTCGCCTTGGCAGCAGCCTCCCGCTGACGGTGCAGGGCTTTGAGGAACTCCCTTCCTCGCCTGAGGCGCCAGATATTCGTCGAATTCTGTTCTCAAAGTCAGTTTTGCATTTTACGCCAGGCCACGGCTTCGTCGAGCCAGCTCGCTCCGGGCAACTTTGGCCCAGAAGCTTTCCACGGTGATGATGTTCATTGTCTATTTGACAAGGATGTCATTGCTTAAACGATGTTATATAGTGCGTCGAGTAAACCTTCCGAAGCTCTGCGAAGGTTTCTGGGTTTTTCTTGCGGCTATTTTTGAAACCCCAGAATTCAGGTAGAGGCTAAGACCCCAAAAAAAATTAAAAAAAAACATACTGAATTGCAATTTTTTTGCGTGGTTCTACGTCCTAGCTGGCCCTGGTTCCCAAACGACGTACTCAAATGAGGGCCACAATGCAAATAGCGCCCACGAAGGTAATTGAATTTTGAATCATGTTGCCCTTTATATGTGTTTTCAAAAAACATGTTCGCAACTTTGCTGTCTCTTTGTATTGTGACAAAAAAAGCGAAGGCAATCGGGCCGCAATATCAACAAGTACCCTCGTCGACGCGTTGCGGATCGTTTTTTTGGTATGTTTGGTAGTTTTTTTGCGGGACGTATGTTTGTTTCGTTTGTCTTTTTTGGCTGTTGTGTTTTTTGTCTGTTTGTACTTTTTGGTGTAGTTTGTGTATGTTTTGTATTTTTGTCTGTTTTTGTATTTTGTATTTTTGTTTTTCGCGGGTCGTATTGTTGTATTCTTTTGGTGGCTGTATTTTTCATATTTTTGTGCTTGTGAAAAAGGCAAAAAGAAGGTCGTATTTTTTCGTACTTTAAAAAAATCAGCCTCGAACTGCGAACCGGCGCCGGCAAAGTTTCAACCCCGAGAGGCTGCTCCAAAAGACAAGGGAGCCAACTTCCCATCCCACCCATATCAGCGTGTATCAAGTTGCAATTTCCTTGAATATTGCTTGCAGTCTGGCATATTGTTTAAGGGTTGTATCTTTATAAATACAAGTCAACAGTGTGTTTTAAAAATACAACTGGGGAATTTGTATTCTCCAGTCGTATTTCTTGTATTGATTGAATCGTTTAGTTGTTTTATCACCTATAGACTATAGACTGTACCTGGAACCGGGGAACCAAGGCTAGCTAGTTTTCCACAAAGTTAATAGAATAGCGCAAAGCCCTCTCTGTACACTACCCTGTGATCTTGAACATTGAACCCTCTCTCCCTCTGGCCGCCTTCGCGGCCATCTTCCTGGCCACGTGGTCCTTGCGGCGCCTTTCCCTTCTCGCACCGACTGGGTTGCCTTGGGCCTGCAGACATGGCGACAAACAAAAGTGCAAGCGCTCATTTCTAGTGATGGTGTGTGCCTTGCAATAGGGCTGGATAGTTGTAGTAGATGAGAACATGTCAAGTACCACTTGAGGCGCCACTTCCTGGACAGCTGGACGACACGGCGCTCATTGTAATGATGTGGTCGGAAACGATGGAAAAAGTCAATCCCGTCTTCGCGCACCAGGAAAACGTCAACCGCAAGCATTGCGCCGAGGCGCGCGAAGAACGCTGACAAGAATGGGCGAACGATCAAAACAGTATATGGGGTAGATGGAGGTCATCGTGTGGAATAGGTGGTTGTCACAAAACGTTTAAACACAGCAACGGTGTATATGGACGAGAGGTTTGAGGGCTCGGGTGATGATGTGGTAAAGAACAAGAAGGGAAGGCAGAGGAGGGGCCAGTTCACTCATCATGGAAGAGCGCGTTGCAAAACGGAAGTGAAAATGCGCCTCAGCCGGGGGCCTGCGGGCAGGAGTCCGTCGAAACGGCTCCTCGCACGGCAGCCAGTGCGTCTGAAGGTTACAGTTGTTTCAATATAATCTGTTCTCCTCATCAGGCGTCACAGTGAGCCACCCGATGGGTGTGCTCACGGTGAGCTTGTGTGCGCACAACTTGGCGCGAAAGTTGCGCAAGCAAGCCCATGTAGGTGCCTGGCACATTGAGACAAAACGCCAACAACGTATCTCAGCCAATATCAAGAACATTCGGGAAGAGTCTTTAAAAAGGACCAAAAATGGAACTCATGAACCTGATTTCAACACTTTCCGAGCACACTCACATCCACCAAAACCGCAATTTAGCAGCTAAAACTTGTCACGAAAACACAGCTTCGACAGCAACATCCAACACCTCAAACATACGCCCTCTGAAGCCAATCCTCCTCTTACAGCGAAGGAACCTGAGGACCTCACAAAATCACAAGAATTCCCACACGTCATGCGTCCATCCAAAACTTCCTCGAAAAGCTTCCACTACCCCAGACCCCCCAAAGTTAAGCAAGAACCCTTCGTTACGCATTCGGGAGAAAACCGACTTCGGGGTGTCTCCGTTAGCAACAAAAAGATGAAGCCGTCGTTAGTGACGCAAGTCAACCGCACTCCCGAAAAATGTAGATCGTTGCATCACCATGGGCCCGTTACCTTGTCAACACAATCCCAGATGTTGGTTTTGGCACTGAAATTGTCACACATTATTGGATAGCCTCCCTTCTAATCGAACTGCATTAGTCCCGCCTGTTTGCCTTTGGGCATTCTGTGCCTTTCGGCTGCTTTGCAACAGGTACCTGCCAAGTGCCTTAGTGACGAGGTTGAGGTGCCTGACAAGTGCCTTAGTGACAAAGGTACCTCACAAGTGCCTTAGTGAGAGAGGTTGAGGTGTCTGACAAGCCTTGGTGACCTTACTGATGTTTCATTTTGCAGCGTTTTCTGAACTCTGAAACGCAGATTTCGTGGCGAGCGCAGCACTTTGTGAGCTCTCAAGCGCAGATTTCGTGGCACGGGCAGCACTTTGTGAGGTTTCAAGCGCAGGTTTCGTGGCAGGGGCAGCACTTTGTGAACAGTGAAAGTGCATATTTCGTGGCAGGCGCAGCGCTTTATGAGCTTTGAAGCGCAGATTTCGTGGAAAGGGCAGCATTTGCTGAACTCTGAAGTGCACATTTCGTGGCAGGGGCAGCATTTTCTGAACTCTGAAGTACCGGGTTCTTGGCAGGGGCCACACTTTGTGAGCTCTGAAGTGCAGATTTCGGGCAAGCGCAGCACTTTGGAAGCACGAGTCACGCTCAGGGTCAGGGGTCTCAAGGTTAGAGGGACCGACGTTGAATCACGAATCACGAATCACGCTCAGGGTCAGGGGTCTCAAGGTTAGAGGGACCGACGACGAATCATGAATCACGAATCACGAGTCACGCTCAGGGTCAGGGGTCTCAAGGTTCGAATAATGAATCACGAGTCACGAATCACGCTCAGGGTCAGGGGTCTGAAGGTTAGAGGGGATTTCGTGGCAGGTGCAGCACTTTGTGAACCTGAAGCGCAGATTTCGTGGCAGGGGGCAGCACTTGGTTGACCCTAAAGTGCAGGTTTCGTGGCAGGTGCAGCGCTTCGTGAGCCCTCAAGTGCAGATTTCGGCAGGGAAGCATTTTGCGAACTCTGAACTGCAGATTTCGTGGCAGGTGCAGCACTTTGTGAGCTCTCAAGTGCAGATTTTGTTCTAGGGGCAGCATTTTCTGAACTCTGAAGTGCAGATTTCGTGGCCAGCGCAGCACTTTGTGAACTCTCAAGCGCAGATTTCGTGGCAGGGGCAGCACTCTGTGAACTGTGAAAGTGCATATTTCGTGGCAGGCGCAGCACTTTGTGAGCTCTCAAGTGCAGATTTCGTGGAAAGGGCAGCATTTGCTGAATTCTGAAGTGCACATTTCGTGGCAGGGGCAGCATTTTCTGAACTCTGAAGTACCGACTTCGTGGCAGGGGCCACACATTGTGAGCTCTGAAGTGCAGATTTCGTGGCAAGTGCAGCACTTTGGAAGCACGAGTCACGCTCAGGGTCAGGGGTCTCAAGGTTCGAGGGACGGAGCACGAATCACGAATCACGAATCACGTCTCCAGGTGAGAGGGGCAGACGACGAACTCCGGGCTAGGTTTGAGGGACAGACGAAGATTCTCGAGCTCGATATTCCTGCATCTTCCTCAGGCTGTCATATTCAGGGAGAACAACTACATACACCAAGTCGCCCAACTCCAACTCCAGCTTCGAAGCAGTCTCATTCTCAGCACCCCACTGGAAGGCATCTGTGGACTCCACCTGGGCGTGGTCCCAGAGCTTGAGGTTTATCTTGTCGCTTGCGGCGGATGCAACCACATAGCGGCGGCCGATCTGCCACAAAGATGGCGTGCCTTGGGAGCCCTGTCCAATGGCTCCCCTGAGCTGCACGAAGGCCTGGTCCTCCAACTTTGCAACCCAAACTGGGCAATGCTTGATGGTGGTCTGCACCTGCGTGAAATCGCCCCAAATTTGGAAGCGGCCGTGTGACATGGAACTGCCCACCTGCCAACACAGTGGCCTTCAATGGCCCCAGCGTACATGTCGCACAGGGCATTGCGGTGGATCCACGCCCGGCACGTGCAGAGCATGTTCTGCTCAGACCACGAATCATGAATCACGAATCACGAAGCGGATCACGAATCACGAAACGAATCACGAATCACGAATCACGAAACGAATCACGAATCACGCGGCTGGAGGAGGGAAATCAATTTCAGAAGTTAGTTTTTGAATTCGACTTGCCTTTGCAAAGCTTTCTAAAAGGGAAAAACATTTGGAAAAATATAGGTTTATTTAAAAATGCCTTTGAAAAGGCTTTTTCCAAGTGAAAATCAATTGAAAATACATTTTTTAAATTAAAATTGCCTTGGAAAAGGCATGTTCAAAGGAAAATACATTGGATTGTTTCAATTAAAATTGCCTTTGAAAAGGCTGTTTCAAAGGGAAAATCAATTAGGAAAATCTTTTTGAAATTAAGATTGCCTTGGACAAGGCATTTTCAAAGGGAAAATCATTTTGTATTTTTTCAATTAAACTTGCCCTTGAAAAGGTTTTGAAAAGGTACAATCAATTGGTTTTTTCCCGAATGCGTAGCGAAGGGTTCTCGTTTAACTCTGGGGGTCTGGGGGTAGAGCCTTGTTCGCGATTCGCGACCCGTTGTTTCTATGTTCGCAACCGTCCGCAACCGTCTGCAACCGTTGGCAACCGGACGCAGTAGAGCGCTAAGGCGCTGCCATTGGGGGAAGCTTTTGGAGAGGGTTTCCGATGGAAACGTGACGTGTCAGATTCGTGTGAAATAGCGAGGAATCGTGTGGAAATGTAAGATGTTGAAGTGTGGAGGATGATATCACTGCGCAGGCGCAGCGTTTTGTGAGATCTGCAGTTTGCTGCGCAGTTCCATTGGGATTAGTGTTTGGAGAGTTGTGTTTTTGGGGTGTTGGATGTCGCCGTGCCATTGGGATTTGCGTTTCAGGGTGTGGCATCGAAGCTCTGTTTTCGTGACAAGTCTCAGCTGAAATGAGGATTTTGGTGGGTGGGAGTGTGCTCAGAACGGGTCGAAATCATTCCAAACGTGTGGTGTGGTGCAAATTTTGTTGAAGCTCACATGAGATGATATTGTCACTTTTCGTGGCAGGCGCAGTACTTTGTGCGGGTTTTGAGGTGTGGAAGTGCGATTTTCGTGGCAGGCGCAGTACTTAAGCGCGTTAGACGTTTGGACGCGGAAAGATTCGTGGTAGGCGCAGGGAATTGTGAGTTGTGGTAGAGGTGACTGTCGCTGTCACATTGGGATTGGCGTGTGAGCGGGTGTTGTTTGGAGGGGCTGGAATCGCGAAATTGCTTGGCGGGGCTGCGTGATGTGTGTGCTCCGATGGGTGTTTCCGCTTGACTTTTGGAAGAAGTCTCGTACGAAACGCTCGTTTTGCAGACTTTGACATGTGAGTTTTTGAGCAAGTCTCGTACGAAACGCTCGTTTTGGGGACTTGACGTGTGACTTTTGGAGGAAGTCTCGTACGAAACGCTCGTTTTGGAGACTTGACGTGTGACTTTTGGAGGAAGTCTCGTACGAAACGCTCGTCTTGCAGCCTCGAAGCGTGTGTCCTACAAGACTGTCCCAGATAGAGTGTCCCACAAGAGTGTCCCGTATGAGTGTCCCACAAGACTGTCCCGCAACCGTGTCCCACAAGAGTGTCTCACAAGAGTGTCCCTCAAGAGTGTCCCGCAAGAGTGTCCTATAAGAGTGTCCCACAAGAGATTTGTAGGAGTGTCCCACAAGAGTGTCCTACAAGAGTGTCCCACAAGAGTGCCCTACAAGAGTGTCCCACAAGAGTGTCTCACAAGAGTGTCCCGCAAGAGTGTCCTGAGTAGCCCCCAAGAGTGTCCCACAAGAGTGTCCTTTAGGAGTGTCCCACAAGAGTGTCCTACAAAAGTGCCCCGTAAGAG